TAGATTCCCAGAAGTGGGACTGCTGAGTCAAAATGTGGGTGCACTCTGACCTGCCACGTGCAATCAAAATGCTTTCCAAGTGGAGCCTGGCAGTGTTGTCAGACAAGGACACCAGCAATGGATAAGCAAACTGTGCTCATCATCTTTGTGTCCTTTTTATTTTTTTGCTAGAAAGCAAGGCACTCATCAGAGAGAGAGAGAAAGAGAGAGAGAGAGAGAGAGCCACCCTCCAATGGAGTATAGGCCTACCTATCAGGAATCTGGGCACACATGCACACGAGCTGAGCTGCTGGGCTGGGACTCGATGGACTGCCGGCTGGGTGGGATCTGGCTCTCCATGCTCTTACAGCTGCACTATAGGCTGGCCCTGCCTTTGTGCTTTTTTTTCCTCCTTTTTACTTTTATCTACATTTATTTCATGCTGACTTTATTCCCGTGCCATAAGTTTTTGCTTCTTCAGTTTCTTCTGCGCGACTTCCTCTTCCGGTTTAGGAACAATTTGCTCCTTTTCAGTGAGGATCATCCCGATGTGGCAGGGGGAGCTCATGTGGGGGTTAATCCGCCCATGAGCTCTGTATGTACAACGGCACATCTGGGGTGCCTTGTTCACCTGAATGTGCTCCATGACCAGAGAATCTACATCTAACCCCTTAAGTTCAGCATTACTCTCTGCATTTTTAAGCATGTGCAGCAAAAACTCAGCACTCTTTCTGGGCCACCAACCTTGTGTCCAGCCCCACTGTGTGGCCTGATACATCACCCACTTCACCACTGTAACAACCGAATGGCACACACGGCTTCTGTAAAGTGACATCCTTCAGATTCTTGGTGGCTTTTTGGATATGCATACCCTTGATGGCCTGGGCAGTTTCACGAGTGTTCTTAAAGTGAACACGAAGACTTGAACCTCTTTACTTGCATGACTTTGTGAGGTTCTCTGGGTCAAGCAAATAGCAAACCATTTTCAAAGATCACCTCAGGCTGCTTATGAGAAGAGCCCTACCTTTGTGTCTTTAACATCAATTCATTTTAAAGTGTATTTCTTTGATGACTGGAAGGTTAATTTTCCCCATATTATTTGTTAGTATTTACATTTTTTTCTTTATTCATGATAGAATGAGAGAGGGAGAGAATAAGAGAGAGATGAGCACCCTCCACAGTATCTGGTCATGCCATCCATGACCCCCTTCCTCCAGCCCTCTACCCTGTAGGATCGTGGACATTGGCACATGTGCTCGATGTGTTTCAGGCAGATGAGTAAGAGGATTTCAACCGTGGTTCACATGTGCATCTGGCTTTTTTTTTTTTTTTGGTTGCTCATTGCTGCTGTGCCATAGCACTGACCCACTATTTTTTAAATTTATTTATTAAAATTCTTTGTAGAGAGTGTGTGCATGAGAGACAGAGAGAGAGAGAGAAAGAGAAAAAGCATCATGGACAGGGTCTTGAACCTTTGAGATCTTTTTTCTTCATCTCTCCAGCCCCCCAGAGTCCTGGGCCTGTGTGCCTGGCATGTTTCAGGTCGACTGGACCAGGGTCCGAACCTGGAAGGCCATGTGGCTTCCAATACTGCAGTTCTGTACCTTTGCATGTGGTTCATTTTGTTTAGAGTCAGTCATTGAGACTCTGTGTTTTACTTTAGCTGTATGAACTCTACTTACAATTCAGATATTCAGATTTTTACTTTTCATACTTGCTACCAATATTTGTTGGGGCTCAGATTACCTTTAAAAAAAGTTTGACACATAGAAGATTTTAAGTTATTACCCAATCATATCCATTGATCCTTAAAAAAATACTTTTAAATAAAAAAAATTTTATCTGCAGGCTTAATAAATACTCTATTTTTTCCTGGTTTGCATTAAAAATATATTTAACTCATTATTCTAGAACTTGTTCTAGACATATGAAATAAGATGAAAGCTCAACTGGTTTTTCTCCCCTCCCCAAATTACTTATCTAAACTTTGCCTCTGCTGTTAATTTGTCTTTTTAAGACTTTACTTTTTTTCTTTTTTGAGAGAGAGATTTTTGCTATCGGGCATGTGCACTGGCCAGAGAAAGAGAGAGAGACAAAAAGTGAAAAGTCACTCCCTAGAGGGAATGGCCATGCTGCAATCCCTTCTCCTCCATTCTCCTCTCAGGATTTTGGGCATGCACACACATGCACCCAGCGTGAATTTTAAGCCACTGGATCTGGGACTTGAACGGCAGTTAACTATGTGGGAGTCCAGTAATGTAACCATTGCGCAATTTGCTGGTCCCAAGACTTGATTTTTTTAAAAAGTAATTTTAGGTTCACAAAAAAATTGAGAGGAACGCTACATAGAATATAATTCCTTACATAGGACATTCTGGAAAAGGTGGAACTACGGGACAGTAAAAACATCAGTGGTTGCTTGGGGCCAGCAGGTGGTGTGGCTATTACGGTGCTGGATCCCACATGGCCAGCTTTGTGGTCTGTGTCTCAGACCTGGCAGCCTGAGACTCATGCCATGAGTGTGCACCCCAAATCCTAGCAGGAGAGTGGAGGAGAAGGAATTGGCAGTGTAGCTATACTTTTGGGGGGGGTGATTTCTTATCCTCCCCTCACCCCATGAGTACACACACCCTATAGCGAAAGTTAAAAAACAAACAAAACTACTCCAGTGTCAGGAGCAGGAAGGAGCTGTGGATGAATACCCAAAACACAGAGCAACTTTAGGGCAGTGAAAGTACTTTGTATGATGCTAAAACGCTGGAGACATGCCATTATGCATTTACCCCACTCCATAGAAGGTACACTCCTTAGAAGGTACAGCACCTAATGTAAACTATGGATTTTTGGTTGATAAGAATAGGTCAGTAGAGGTTCATTGATTGTAGCAAATGTACCACTCTTGAGGATGTCGATGACGGGGAGGCTATAGAGGATGGGGGGCATACAGGATATTTCAATATCGCTATTGATTTTTCTTTCTAAGATAAATCACATTGGGGAATCGACTTAGTCATCAATTGGGTCTAATTTCTAGTCCTTTTCTGAAACGTGTCACATCAGCTGCAGACAGAACTTTCTTCTGACTTACCCAGGATTTCTACAGCGCTGGTTCTATTTCTATACGGGAAGAATTACAATACAACACCAGCAGGCTTAGATAAAGGCTGCCATTGCCTTCCTGTTAACAGGGAAATCTGCTACTAAAAGGCTACTTCTGAAGCCTACGAGGTTGGTGGTGGTAGGGGGGTTGGGGTGCGTGGAGGGTATGTATGAAGGGGAGTGTTATTTCATGCAAAGGCTGACCTCACTGTTAGCCACTGTGTCATCTCCATTGCACTGAATGGGCAGGCTCTCCTAACCACCTACCCAGGTGGGTACCTGGCCCATGCCGGTAACCTCAGTGCAGCCTCAGTCCCGCTGAAGCCAGGCTTGTCTCCAAGTGTGGGTTATTACAGGAAAAAGTAACTTGCCTCGCCAGAGCTTGACTCAGGTTGACAACTAGTTTTTAAGAAAAGTAAGAGGAAGGCCGGCTGGTGGCATGGTGGTTGAGGTGCTGGACTCCCACGTGGACGACCGTGGTTAGAGTCCTGGACCTGGAGACTTGCTTTCTCGCTCTCCCTCCTCCAGCCCCCGTCAAATAATAAATATATATATATTTACTTTTTAAATTTTAAGAGCGAGGTGGTCCTCTAGGCACACCCTATGCTAGAGGCTCTCAAAGTCAAGAGTACTTAAGCATCGCCTGGGAGCTCAGGAAATGTGCAGATTTTGAGCGCAGCACCGGATGCGGAGGGTGGTGCTGAAACAATTTCCTGGTCTCATCTCACTTTTTTGCTCTTTAAAGCCCTAAACATGCTCCCACGGATGTTTCCACAGTTGAGAGGTTCTTCCTCTGCCAGCCTCATCCACCACCCCGGGAGGAGGTTGAGTACTGGTCAGGGGCACACCTGCTCAGTTTCCAGCCACCCTTCCCTCCTTTCCAGGTCAGAAGCTTAATGGTTCGTGGTCTATAAACCCAATTCTGGTCTCGCAGAAGGCCGCCCGAGCCCCTTCTGTGTTCCCTCCTAGGTTAGGACGCAGTCTGTCCGCTCGGCACTGCTTCGTGAGGAGGGCGGCGTGGCTGGAGGGAGCGTTTGCGGGCCCCGGTTTGTCTTGTTGCAACAGACCCAAGGGCGACGATCGCGTCCCGGGCAGGACCCCTCGCGCCCTCGCCGGGACTGCGTCCCCAGCCTAGGATGGAGCTCCTTTCTCCGGCAGGTGGGGAGGGTGGCTGGATCTACGCGGAGGTTTAGCAGACCTTCCTTTGCAAGCCTCCCTCCCGTCCTCTCTTCTTCCCTAGTACGAAATGCCCCCTTCCCTCCCTGCCTGGTCCATGGCCACTTTCTTCTGCTCGGGGCACGACGTCTTCTCTGACCACAGAACAGCCGCAGAAGTGCCGGGGGCTCGCAGGTCCCCTTCGGCCGCGGAGCCCCTCTCCCCCGCGCGCCCAGCG